AAATCGGTTCTGAAAGCGAATGTTACATTACCACCCGACAATTTTGATCACTTTGTCAGTTTAATCAAATTGAATTTGATTGGTTTTAATACACAACGTAAAACATTCGAAGGTGGAAACAAAGAAGAACAAGATGATGACAATCCTAATGACTTTGTGTTTGATTGTACAGTTGTATACGATCGGTCATCGATCCCTACAACACTTGCTGTGTGGCAGTACGGCGGGCGCGAACATGAAATGCTTTCGAATCGATCTGACAAATTATTGCTTGCAATATATCAAGTAGATACAATATCAGACGTTGTGCACGCATATATATGTCCTGATGCTAGTCAATCACTTTTCTATACCGAATTATTTGCTCAAGTTTTACGCAATTTAACCCAGGACGATCGTTCCTGGAAGCAGTATTCCGCTAATTTCCGACGAAAACCCGCCGGATATTCATATTTTCCGCGCTGGAAACCACGAGAAAAGACTCGGAGTCCTACTAAAGGAACCGGTAACCGTATCCGACTATCGGTTATGGCGGGTTCTTGCTGGTTCTCGATAAAACCTTTTAAATCCGATGAAAGGATCCAATCGCCGAAATACTGCTTCCATGAAATCCCCGGAAGGTTCTGGAACAGGTCGGTTCCGGGCCGGATTGTTCGACCTGGGAACAGATCCACGGTGTCTTCATCAATCATTGAATGATCAGATTTTGAAAAGAAACTCGATAGTTTGTTATCACGCGTCGAAGAAAAACATATGTTCGATGATGAAGATTATTGAAAAGTTCATTTGTGTGATGTTTTATTCTTGACTGACATTTCCGATAGCATCTAAAAGAACGATGCTCCAGTGATTGCCATTTGTAGTACTTAATATATGTGATTCATAACTTTTCAATAAAACTGACAGTTCGATTAAGATGATCACTCTGAAAATACGTCATCACCATGATGTGAGAATCGAATGTTTCTTTACGCATCTCGATAGAAATCACCGAGGAAAGATCATTACAGTGGTCATGATTCTATTCTCCATTCGGGACGAAACAATTATTGGTTATAGTTTCTCTGTCTTTTGTGGGATTTACTGTGGCAAGTAGTAAGCATTGCTATTGCGTCATTCGTTGCAGACAGTCTTATGCTATAAAAATAATCGATATAGTGTCGATAGCGTGAAACACACGACAGTGAAAATTCACTTCGTCTCCTCGCCATCGCCCTCAGCTGAAAATTCGTTTCACCTATTCGTGTTCACTGATTAGCCACCATAACCAAGTAATATAATTGGATTGTTCTTTTCTTGAAGTTGGATAGAACAGAAAATTCTTGTTACGAAAAGAGAGAAAAGGAGAACATGTGTCAAGATGCTACCTATAATGTGCATATCAAGAGTAGTCGATTTAATAAAAGAGTTATTAAGAATTAAATAGAAAAGTTTCAAAATATTGTGATTGGAATACGCGTTGAGAACTTGATCAATTCGAATGGACTCTGGTATCATATCCTAGAATGTCAAAGTGCGAAATACTTTAGAATACCCACTCTTATCTTTAAAAATAATCTATCTCAACCCAGCAGCTCTATTTATAATCTGTCTGATTAACATTGGCAAATGTGCATACATTGATGGATCGGTTGCTTCTTGAACAAGTACATATCGAGCTCGTCCAATTTGATCTGCCGGATTTAAAGCGCAATGGGTAGTTCCACGGAACGTTGTAACATGTGATGGACGATTTCGTTTTGTTGAACACCTGTTATTTTCTTCAGAAGATGAGCAGTTACAATTTGAACGCACTGGATGATTTCGGTAAACGAGAGCATTTACTCATCGAGCATCAGGGCCACTTTTTGAGACATGTTCTGAGCCTGTTGGAGCAATTCATGGTGAAGTTGCGTTGAGACTGGCATCTGAAGTTGACTCACATCTAAAAACGGAAAATTTGAAAGATCGCTCCTTTTAGAGCAGTTATCCTATTGCCGAAGTTACACATTCCCGGAATCGCTTGGAATGTCTAGCTAAGCAACCTTGGATTCCGGATGATAAGGGAGTGCAGGAATATGTAAATTTTAGGAATAGGAAGTATTCTCAGTTCGTTGGGATCTGAATCTGGATTACCTGTACCGGCCATAATCACTGTCTTCATGTCATCGTATGGTCGTATTTTCACAACTTTATTTTCGCCTATCATTGAGCAGTATAAATAATTCTTTCGTCATCTGACTCGTCTCAACCTGTTTTGCGCACATTCAGATTATGTTGAACAATTTCTCGTTGATAAAACCACTGCTCTTCCTTGCTTGTCGCATCTATCCGTCACATATCAATCACTTGTAAAAGTGACAAAAAATTTTACCAATAATTCAACACGTGTCACTTGTGTTGAGTTAAAAAGACTTTGTGTAAATGATGATCATTTTGTTCGACCAGATAACTTTGACCAATATTTTCCCTTATGGTAACTAGTGCTTAATTCTTTCAATAAAATTTTTTTCTGTGAAAAGTAGATTTTTTCATACTAGCGAAAAGAAAACTGAAATTTCAAACATTACATGCTTTACAGATTCAGCCAAAGAAAATAATCAGTTATGGAGAAACGAGAAAGAAATTCCTCCATTGGGCAATGTTAATATCTGAAGTTGTAATACGTTACTGATCAAATGTTCTTCCATGAATTGTTCAACTTTTGGTAATTATGAAGTAATTTCATTCCCTTGATGTTGTTTTTGAATATCTGCTTCTAATTCGCAATAAACAAACTCTCGTTCTATCTTGTTCATCTGATCCACTTTTTAAAACGAGTATATCAGCAACATTTGTTACAACAACATCGACACCAAATGCGTTCTCCTACTGTAGAATTTGCATCGAGGGATTTAGTTCTGTTTTGGGTAATAATAATAGCGAGAATGCCTTACTCACAGAGGTGCAGAATCTTCCTCATGCGCCCCTGCGCGAGGAGGGAAACTTTTGAAAACTATCACACTGGAAGAAATTTTGAATATAGTCATTGGGGAAATCATTATTTGGAATATGTTGCTTTACTCGTATACTTTATTCTTCGTCTTGCTAAGAATATACATATATGATTCTTTAGTATTTTTTCCCTTCTTATAAGTACGTGCATCTAACTGTATATGCACACATACATAACTTCGTTATTCTAGTTACTATTCGTTTCTCTTTCTGTTTTTGCGTCTCTGATTTTCTTCCCTTCTGTATCATTCGATTCATTGAATAAAATCAAGTGAGGATGAAGAACATCTATGACATCCCACCTAGTTGTTTATTCCGGTTGATTGATATATCGTAAAATCACACATATATATATACTGGCGGCTTTTACGTTCATACAGAACGCTCAAAGAAAAACAAACCCGGATTCTATTGATGTGAGCAAAATCTTCTTTATAGATCAAAAACAAAATAAAAGAAAGTCATATTGATTTGGAAAGTTCACCAAACGTTTCGCTCACACCTTCACTTTCCATTGCATTGAAAAAAGAACAATTCCTATCCCATACTTCTGTTATAAATCCGCGATCAGGCGTTATATGAAAATGTTTCGGTGCATACGGATTATAACTCGGCCACTGAATCAGCGGTCTTCCCGTTGTTGCTATATTTATCCAATGTGCAATGATTCTATTGGAAAATAACCGTGTTGATTGATCCCAAGTGCAATTAAATAATTCTTCGGAATGAAAAGTACTGATAGTGCCGAAGACAAATGGAAGTTCGGCAGAATGTAGACAAAGTCCTTCTTCGGGAACGATTGGACATTTCGGATAACAGTTTAAATGGTATGAAAAAAATTTATTTTGCGCGAATTGAGGACCGTATTTAGAATAGAATGCATCGAATATCCGGCGAATATCACAGTCGAATAATTTATCCGTGGCGATAACATTCACGATGTGGCAACAACGACTTACATTTGCTGTTCGATTTGCTGAACAATTCCCTAGTTGATAGTATTCAACAATTGACGGAATCCATTTTGGGTTCACTGATTGACTGATCAATCCAACTGCTTCGGTATAATTCATATCCGGATATTGTAAGCACAATGTTAAATCATAATCATTGTTACCCATGATAAGACTGATGTTATTGTATTGACCATTTTGAATTGCTAAAGGTGGATAGAGAGGGAAAAAGTATCTGTCGATAATTGGTTTTGTATAATAGTCGCCATAGATTTGAAATAAATCTTCAATCGAGGCGTTTCGTATGCAAGAAAGCAGCTTTTGTTTATCTTCGCTAGTACAGTTCAATTTTCGAACAATATAACTAGAGACGTTGAGAGCAGTCGTAGTATTATAGTAAGATAAATATGTTCCTGGTGAATCTAAACCTGATTGACTTACTGCCGTTCGATAGAGACCAGCCGATCCTTTCAATGCACCAAGATCGGTTACAGATAAACCACCAGCACTTTGTCCAAACAATGAAACGTTATCTTCATCGCCACCATAATCACGAATGTTTCTTTTGATCCAGCGTAGCGCAGATAACATGTCCAAATACATATAGTTACCTGCTGTTGGCCATTGAGGATCTTCATCGACTAATTCTGTCAGAAACATATCCGCTAACACACCTAATCGATAATTAATCGTAACAATAATCACTGGCTGATCTGCTGGCGAATGAGCAATCATATTGGTGCCATTGTAGATCAACGGAATACTTTGAGATGAGCATCCGATTTTATGTGCACCGCCATGGATCCAAACAAACACAGGCAATAGAGAGTGATTGGATTGAATGATAGGTTTGTAGATATTCAAATAGAGACATTGCTCGTTTTGTTCAGGAATAGAAGTATTCGTTTTAGGTTGTGGACAGCACGGACCAAATGATGTCGCATGAAATGAACCGTTCGGAAATTTTTCTGATCCAAGATCGATTGGCGGTTTCCATCGAATAACTTTTGCGTACTGAATTCTAATAAGAGAAAAGTATCAGTATTACATGTCAAGAGATTATCATACCCGAGATATTCAATCGAACTCTGTGTTTGTCGCCCGTAGACTATGCCTTGTTGAGTTCGAAGTCCGACATGTACACAAGTGATTGTCGTCACGAGACAAAATAGTAGAAATTCTAAAGTCCAATAGTACCTCATTGAATATATTCGTCTTAGAGCGACTAGTAAACCTACAAAGTGTCTTATCTGACATCGTTTGTTCTGTTCGTATAGGTTATCTTTCTTGGTCAACAGTGACACAATAAGAAAATGACACTGTCATGTTTACATCTCGTATTTCAATTTGTTTATTAACTATCGTCTCACATTCGAAAATGGAATTTATCACGAAAATCATTAAACCCTATCGCTCTGTTACCTCATACAAACAAATTCAGTCACTTATGACTGTCAATTTCACGTAGGAAAATATTGCCGATGGTCTACCAATAACAATGCATGCAGCGAGTGTAACTTTTTACAATTCAGTCAAATCAATCATCTATTCATTGTCTATGTTTGAAATGATATTTTATTCAAAAATATAAAAAAAACAATATTTTTATCTTAAAATACGACGATCAATACCAGTCATATATAAGATACTATCGTATAGAAGAATACCATCGACTAGACATATTTGTGGTCCTTGAGATGAATTACGCCCTAATTGACAATAGGCAACTAAGATATCACCAGGTCGTAGATAGATCGCCCAAGGAAACAACGT